TTTATTCCGCTTTGGCAAAGATTCTCAAATAAAATTTAAATATTCATGGGCCCATTTCACGGCATCCGAATTCAAGTTACTTATTACTCATTTCGAATAGTTTAAAGTAAAATGGCACCTGTTTTCTCTCCAATACAATTTGTAATGGTGCTGTATCTCAAAAGGAAATTTCGAATGGGTTTTCTTTCGATCACGGTTGTCGACGCTGGCTCCTTGCATGCTGCCGAATAATTTTTATTGTAAAATCGAATAATTGTAAAGAAAAATTCAAAGTTTTTTAAAGCAAGTGGCCTGGCACTGACACCGGTAGGGTCCAAATTCTTCACAGAATCCGTGGAAGCGAAAAACGAGATCAAAGAACTGCAGTTGCGGCACTCAGTGAGGCGCTCAAGCCAAACACTTATCGTGAGAGACTATCGGCCGGCTCTGAATTGTACGTCGCTTATTTGCTTACCGAGGATTAGTTGGGCACAGTAGGCGAAGCTTTAGACTTGCCAAAACGAGTCACAGCGTCGGCAATGCCGTTATTCGAGCCAAATAACCACCTATAGCGGACGAAAGAGCTTCAGCTGCCGCGAGAGAACTGCGTACCTCTGCCCCAATTAAGGTCCGTAAAATTGCTTTAAAAATTAAGGCTCCTACCCGACATACCAGACATACATATGTATGTCAGGCTTGTGTAGGTTTGCCCGCCGACACCAATCACCCCTTCACCTGATTACTCAAATGATATACAAGCACCGTAAGAAGTTCGAAGAGCATTTGAGTTCGCTTTAATCAACCGTTTCCATCCTTGTTCAACCCGACAAAGCTCAAGTCGTGTTAAATTTAATATTATGGTTCGTCCGACCCGAAGAAATGCCCGATATACGAGTATTTTAGCCGATAATAGTTACACAACAAGGGGTAGTCCGATCGGTTTACCACTTTTCTTTCTTCAGTAGTGGGGAGATACTGAATGAATTTGTCTGAAGGAGTCCACGCTTCACTTATTTAGGCATACTGATTAATTCTCGCCCGATGAGTTGCGCCGTAAGATCCACCTACTCTAAACCAACTCCGTTCTGGATATCGTCGGAAGTTACAACCTTACTATTTGAGAATCAACCCCGACATACCCAGCATATTTATGAGCATGGGGTAAAACCGCCTTTTCTAACATGCCTTTCTCCGCCGAGACAGCCAGTTTCAAGGGCTACCGTTAAATGAGGTTGATAACCCTGATGAACTAAGCGATCGACAAATGTTAACAGAACTCATTAATTTGTTCCAGCAACAATAAAAGTTTACATGAGCGTATGGTACATAGTTGCTAATACAAATCAAAGGTTATTCGTGGTCAACAATTCAAGGTAAAGGATGTACACACTGCAAACACACGTTGTTCTTTTTATTGTGCGGCATATGACGAAATCGTGTAGAAGTCGTAGTGGAAGGTACATATACATACATACATAGATGTTTTTCTTAACCGACAACGTACAAATTTTAAATTCAATCAATTGATAATTTTTCGTGTAATTTATTTAGTTTTGCGAATAGTAAATATATATATATATTTTTTTTTTGTAATTCTTACTCTGTGTCATACTCGTACGAATGCAATTTACCTTTTTTTATTGATTTCTTCGTGCTCCTTCGTTTGATTTTTCTACGCATACATAAAATACTGATTTTTTTTAATGTATTTATATTTTTCTGTTGGCACTTTCTGCGTTGCCTTTGCTGTGGTCGCTGAAAGTCGTGGCTTTCTTTTTTTAAATCTGTTTTTAAGCTCTCGTCGGTTTTTGCTGCATCGTCCCACAAGGAATGTGCTTAAGCATATTTATTTAAACTTTTTTCTCAACGCCTTATACTTGCCTTCCTTTTCGTTCATTATTTTTTTTATTGCCTGACTCCTGCTGTTGCACCCATACATGGACAAATTTATTTAAGTGGCTATAAGAATATGTATATATAGTTCTTTTCATACAGATGTACATACATTGTACATAGATACTTACATACTTTTTTATTATTTTTTTCCCTATGCGCCATATTGTAGTTTTATTAATGTCTTCGGGTCGCAATCAATGTTGTTTAACCACCATTAAAAGCGCTTGCCACTCATACTGGTCGCGCTCTACTCCTTCGAGCATTAAACATAAAAATATATTAGCAACTTTGGCGTATGCGCGCTCGTGCTCTTCTCTCTACACTTGAAACTCGCTTGGCCCGGTCGGATGCCAGTCCTGCCTGTCTGTCTGTCTGCCTGCCTGTCTTGCTTACCTTCTCCATATAGCCTGCATGTTGTATTTTTAATATATTCTTTGCTGTCTCTCAGAGTCAGCAACAACGTCTCCGTTGTTCTGAGAGTGGCCTGGCCTAGTCTGGTCTCGGCTGCTGCCTGTTCTTGTGCTGTATGCACTGCCACATGCTGGTTGGTGGCTCTATGCTTAGCTGTGGTCGCTTTAACATATTGGATGTGGATGTGCCTGTTTTTCCTTTTGTTTTTCTTTAATGTTTTTGCGTTCTACACTGCTGAAAAATACTAAAGTACAGTGTTCAAAATTTGCGTTGCCGCTTTGTTGTTATTGTTGTTTTTGTTGTTAAGATTGCTATACTGCCACTGCCGTTGTGCTGCTAACTGCGGCTGATGCCACAGTCGCCGCCATCGTCGCCACTGTTGTTAAACTTATGTTTGCTGCTACTTTTATTTTATTACTTTTTCCATTTCAGTATTTCTTTGTCTTTTGGCGTTTTCTGTTAAATGCAAAAAAGGAATTCGCTACTCGCATACGGATTTTTCAATAATTTTGCTGTTGAAAGGTTGTGCCTTGGGAGTGTAGTAGGAGAAAAAATTAAGAAAAAATTGGTCTTTATACGGTGTGTTTTTTATTTCAATTTAATATTTATTATTTTGGAATATATAATCACAGTTTAGTGTTGGTTTTTGGTCAGAAAGCATATTAGTGATAGATACTTAGTGAAGAGATACTTAATTTTTGGGCGCTTCATTGTCCTTGAGTCGCTGTGTGGTCGTGTATATGTAAGTGCTGTTAGTGTGTGCGTTACAAAAAATATATTTAGAGATGCTTGTCAAGTATTTTTAAATCCATGCATACATATCTACGTGAATAAAAGAGTTAACTGTACTTTTAGTCAAGAGCGCCTTTTAAAATGTTTAGTTCTTCCGTATTTAAAAACTAAAAAATAAAAATATTCATGAAATTTACAATATACATATGTACATACTATGTTTTAACCGACTTCAAAAACAGGAGCTTATAAGCGATATATCGAATCGTCGGAATATTTTTTAATGTACCGCATTACTTTCGAACACGTGAACCGATTTCGATGATTCTCTTTTTATCGGAAAGGTGGTCCCATACTAATTTGGTTTATATCCGATCTTTGGATTGGAAGAAATTAATGATGCTCCTAAATTTTTATACGAAAATTGAAGTCGGTTGTGTTTCTTGCTTGAAAATTACTTGTTTTAATCACGTTTGCCGAAAAGTGATGAAATAAAAGTAATTAGGTTCGAGAAAAATTCGTTTTGTTCATAAAATATAAAAATAAACAAAAATAAAAAATTTTTTAATGATTACAAATTTTATATTCCCATCATCACACAAAAATCTTGCCACGCTCAGAATATTTTCGAAAACTTCAACTATCTGGGAGCATGTTTTTCGCAATCCCTCAAAATGTTAGGGCCGCTTTTTGCTCACTCACTGGCGCCCGCAGGTGCACAAAACTGCCTAATCTCTTTTTCTTTTGCTCTTTCGCGGGCTAGTGAGACACAACTTGAGAGAGTGCGAATCTGGAGTCAGTTTTTAAAAATACAAAATGGCGCATGGATTTTAAAAAAATTTTAAAATTTTTATGAAATTTTATTTCCAAAGGTTCTTTGGGTCGCTTATTACAAAACTGCAATCAGTTTTCAAAAATTTAAAAATGACGGATCCAATATACATATATACGTACATATATATTTTTTTTAATCCATCCGCCGTCTTGAGTTTGTAAAAACTGATTTCAGTTTTGTGATGACTCAAAGAACCTTTGGATAGAAAATTTCACAGAAATCTGTCGATTATTTAAAAATCCGTCCGCTATTTTGAATTTTTAAAAATTTACTTCAGATTCGTAATCGGCAATCCCAAAATCCCTTGGTACAAAGTTTAATAAAATTAAAAAAAAAAAAAAAAATTCTTGGGTGCAAAATCGTATCGGACGGCGTTATTTATACGATTTGACATTTAGTTTCAGGCATCAAATTGGGAATTTTGTGTTCCCATGATATTGGGCAGTTTTCCTCTTTTGTGAGAGCATTTCATACTTATGCTCGTTTGTTGAAACTCGCCCAAAATGGAAAAACAGACCTATTGTTCCTGTATTGACATTTATGTATGTAATTTTAGTTGTAATCCCAAATTCAATTTTGACTTAAAAAGTTCAGTGAAATCGGAGGTAATTACTAAAGTGTGCCTAAAACAAAAAAAGCCAGTGCAAGTATATAGTTAGAAAGGGCAAAGCAGATCCAGAAAATAACTTCAACGTAGGTTGCTGCAGAACTTAAGCCAGATTTTGGGAAAAATATTCCATGACCGCCAGAAGATTATCATACCCAAGGCCGGCTATAGTGCTGGCTAGACTAGACTACTTAAAAGGGCATATTAGCGAAACAAACATATCTAAGGACAACAACAACAACCAAGTACAATTCTCAGATGACCATAAGTTTAATATTTTCTGATCTGGTGGTCAAATCGCGATGTGAAGAAGACCCAATACAGCACTTGTTAAAAAAATCTTACTTCAACTATAAATCATGGGGGTGGAGTTGTGATGATGTGGGTTCTTATCTTAGCCATAAAAAGTATCCAAAATTTTCACTACGCGTTAAACCCAGTTTTTAGACTGAGTTTCTAGTTCTAAGTAAAAAATATTTGACTTGGGTAAATGTTATCTAACCTTAATTATTTAAAAATTTCTGTATTTATCCCTTTTAGTTATGCAACGCATTCCAAAATCCATCGAAGGTTGAAATTCGACTACTTAGCGCTTCCTAAATACTCCAAATCCAGTTTGTACTTCCCGGCCACTTGCCGACGAAGATTCTAAGGGAAAATTAAAAAAAAAATATTTATACGTGCAACAGCTAATTAACCACGACAAAAGCATTTCTTCACGTCCAGCTGTCGAAACGCCTGTACCTGAATCTGATTGCGTGGTTCGCCCACCAGCGCCGACGCCAGGATGAACGCGTCCCAGCGTCAGGAGTTTTGTGTGCGCTGGAACAGCCATTTGGGTAGTATTGGTGCCGCTTTCCCGCAACTGCTAGCCGGACAACGTTTTGTTGATGTTACCTTAGCCTGCGAGGGGCATCAAGTCCATTGCCACCGGCTCGTTTTGGCCGCCTGCTCGTCCTACTTCGACAGTATTTTGGCAGAGAATCCATGCAAACACCCCGTCATCATATTGCCCAGCGAAATCAAACTGTGGGAGATACAGGCGTTGGTCGACTTCATGTACAAGGGCGAGGTGAATGTTACGCAAGCTGGTTTGCCGCAACTGCTGCGATGCGCCGAACAGTTGCGAATACGCGGACTCTATGGCTCGGACGCCGCGTTGAATTTGAATCAGCTGAAAGCGCTCACAAATAAGGCAGCCGCGGCTGCTGCAGCTGCGACACAACAGCAAGCGGATGGCATGGATACCGACACAGATACCGCCACCAATTCGACGACCACAACGACAGCAACAGCCGCGAGCGCGCTACAACAGCTGCACGCTGGCGGCGGCATGACCGCAGCCATGATGGCGCATGAACTGCAGCAGCAGCAGCAGCATCAACAACAGCAACATCACCAGCAGCAACAAATCCATCAACAGCAACCACAACAAAAATACCAGCACCAACAAACATTTATGATAAAAAAGGAAATACCTGCGCCGCACGAAGTTGAGCAAGAGCAGCAGATGCAGCAGCAGCAGCACCATCACCTCCAGCAACAGCAACTATTGCAACAGCAGCAGCAGCAAAAACAACAACAACAACAACAACAGCAGCAGCAGCAGCATCAGCAACAACAACAACAACAGCGGCAGAGCAACGGCACACTCGTGCATAATGCCATGCAACAAAATCACCTGGAGCACCAACAGCAGCTTGCGCACCAGAAGCAGCTACAACAACAGCAAGCACAACATCAACGCGTGCCGCAAGCCACGCTGGCGCATGTAGCGAACGCGGCTGCTGCCGCCATGGCCGCCGCCAATTCAAACGCCGCCAGCGAAGAGGACGAGTCGGCTGACGATTCCAATTCCAATCAGGCCTATGAGCAGTACGAAAAATATACATTGCAGCAGAATATTGCTGCCAGCAAGTTGAAAGCAGCGCAAGCTGCTTCCGCAGCTGCTGCCGGCACACATCTCGACTCTACCGTAGAAGAGGACCACAACTACGTGGCAGCGCACGATGACGACAGCAGTTACGCGGACAATGAACACGATAGCTCGGCAAACGCATCATTACTTAGCGTGATGGGTGTACAGGCGAACAGCGGTGCACCTGGTGTGGGTAGTGTTGGCGAAATGGCAGGCGGGCTGAAGCGTATTCGACGCTCCGAAGCGTCGCTGGCGCAGGCGGCAAAGTGTGTTTCGAAAGGACAAACCTTCCAAACAGTCAGCAACATGTTCAACATACCAGTCTCGACAATACGTTTCTACATGGCACGCAAGGGTATACTGCCGCGTCGGAAGAGAGGGCGGGGCGCTTCATCGGCGGTAAATAATGCGACAAGCAGCGGCAGCTTGATGACAGCCACCGCTGCGGCAACTATGGCACAAGCGTTGTCACAAATGAAGCGCTCCAGCAGTCCAAGTGGCTATGAGACGCATCACGTGGTTAGTAGCGCCAGTGTAGGCGGTAAGGCGCACATTTAATTCGACCGGCAACGAAAGAGAGTGGGGCGGAAAACTTTAAAATTGTAAATTGTGGAAGCAAGCGATTTGAAAGCTCTCAACGGTTACGAGTGAGATTCTACAACTTCAACTAACTGTACACATAGGCGGAATAAAAAAGTACTCTTAAAAGCTGTAAAATTAAGCAAAAAATTTACATTCTACCGAAAACGCCAATTTCTCATAGTTATATTACAAACACACATGATATTTCAAAACAAAAAAAAACACTATTTTACTTTAGTAACCGTCATGCATAAATTGTAAGTTAAAATGTACAAAATATTTATATGCTTTTGGTTATCATTAGACATACATACATAGGTTATAAATATGTATTAGCATATAGTTTTTTCCCTTTTCACCAGTTATATATATTTATATTCATTATATTTATTTTGTTAACGATTCATACATTTGTATTTCTTAAATCTGCAAAATTATTTTGTGTAAAAAATATTTCAGTACCTCGACATTCGAACTGCTTTGTATTCTATTTTTAAGCAATTTTTTGAATTGCTTTTTGTATGCGTTGATGAGTTTTTACTGAAGGCCAAATATTTTCTGGACTCATTACTTCACTATATTATCAAACTGTTGTATTGTTAGTTATAATCAGTTCTTGTCATTGCTTGTAATAACTTTTATCTGTAAATATTTATACTTATATATTTTTTTGCACAACAATAAAACGATTGCATTTATTTTTCGCTTAAGGCTAGAAGACTGTAGAATTAAATGAATAGTTTTAAATTTAAACTTAGTCGCCGTTAAAGAAGCGTTCTATGTGTTGATGTAGAAATGAAAGCACTTAAAGGAACTCATTAAATTTTAATTTAAGCCAATGAAACTTGTGTATAAAGAAATAACACGGTACTACAGCAAAAAAAAATCCAAGAGGTTTGAAATGTGTTTGGTGCCCTTTGACCTCCTGATTACGAGGATGTCTTTATTTTTGTTTGGTCACATCGAATTATTTTGGGGTGACATGAAATACATATGTATATAAAAAATGCTTATAAAAACCGTAGGCTTACTGGAAAATTATTAAGGAGTACTTTTTTGTTTTTAAATATTTGTTTTTAAATTTTTTTGGAACTCTAACATAAAATGCAATTGATATTTGTATATAATTTAAATTGGAAAGCGCCAAATTTTTTCTATTTAATACCTTTCCAACAAGCCGAAGATCATAAAAATAGATACATATTTCTTCTTCTATTATTATCATTTTTTATATTTATTTAAGGCCCGATAAAAAAATATCGACTTGACACATGAAAATGAATACATTTGCCTAATCAGGAGCCCAAATCACTGCACATACACTTTACAGACCTCTTGAAAAGCTCAAAATTATCGTACAGTCTAATGTTAGTTGAAATCTCTTGCGTACTTTCATTTAATAATTGTATGAAAACGCGTAAGCTATAAGTAAGACGTGCAACATTTTTACTATCGCTGAGTTTGCAACACTGTTATATGTAAATATGTGAGTTGACTTCCTTTTATAAAACTTGAATTATGTTAAAATATTTGTTGAATTCCAGTTCTGATTTCTGCGGTTTACGCTTTGGTTATATCTAGAAAAAAAACAAGCCACACTAAACTGCAATAATGGCCGTTAAAGCCCAATACGGAACACTTTGATTTCGTTGACGGTTGTTGAAATATTTCAAGGCTTGAATATTTGCTTGTTATTTTCTAAAAAATATGCAAATTTATATTTTAATATATTTGCTTCTATTTTTGTAATTTGCCATAGTATTTATATATTGAAATGATTTAACTACCACTTAGCACATGTTCGCTTCATAACGGTTAGCTATCATATGCTTCAGTTCCATAGGTTTCCTATATCAAGTACGTGGATCTATTTATGTATACTTTAAGCTATATACATATATGAATATAAATAAATGTGTGTATTTATGTGTCTAATCATGAGATTATAATTACAAACATGTACTATGTAGTGTGGAAATAGGGGAAGGAAATTCACAAAAGCAAACAAGCTCTTGAGTATCTTAAAGTAAAAACTCATTAAGTCAATATATTAGGTTATTTCCCCTACAACCCGGACTGGAGCCGGTAATTAGAGAGTAAGCGAAATATTTGCTCTCAAAAATGGAAAAATGTTCAAATGTACGGGAACGCAAAAAACCACATTTCGTGCCCAGAATTTGGGAGATATTGAATTTTGGTTCCAAAAATTTTGTTGTATTAATAAATAGTAATATTGTTTGAAAATACATCAAATGTAAATGCAAACAACATGTAAACACAAACAGCTGATATGCACTTTGACACTTTATCCATTTTTACTCGGAGAAAAAATCCGGGCTGTTTCGGACAAGAAGACTTACGATCCAATACGTTCCAACGTTTGCTCTCTATTACCAATTATTTGAGTACGGGAAGCATTTTTGGGCTGTTTTGAGATCCCGCATTGAGTACGGGAAAGAACCTATTATGTTAGAGCCTGTGCCAATCATTAGCAAAGTTCTATGGCGAAAACACTGTTTTCTATGGTCAGAAAATTTTACGTTTCTGCTGTGCCAATTCGTCACTTTTTATTGCTGAAAATTATTGACAATTGCTTTGATGCAGAAGGAGTTTAATTTTGTCTTTGCTGATTTTAATTCTTCTAGTACCAGGTTGACCGAGCTTTGCCCGGAGTGCATATGCTTTTTAAACTTTTCAAGATTTGGATAGCTTTGAAAAAATATTTTGGGAATAAAAAAAAATGGGTTTCGATATCTGTTGTATATAGGGAAAGCATTGTTTAAGAACCTTCTCTTGGTACACATGAATGGTAATATTTTACCTTTTTACTAAAGAAAAAATTAAATAAATATGCGATTCAAAATAGGTGGCAACCCTATTAAAAATATTTTTGAATTAGGGATCTTTAAAGTGGAGCCTGTTTGATTTGTAAATAATGTCGAATAGGTGGCAACCTTATACGAGTCTAGATAGTGAGATAGTGCCTATTCAGATAACCTTAAAGTCCAAAATATTATCTGTGTACAAAATTTCATCAAAATCGTTAGAGCCGTTTCCGAGAACACTAAGGATATATATATATATATATATATATATATATATATATAGTATATATACAAGAATTGTTCGCTTAATGTAACAAGATAACTGAAATACATACTGTTGTTAAGCTGCCTTTACACGGGTCAATTTCAGTCGACTGAGAGATCGACCAGCCAAAACACATTTTACGATTGAATTGCCATTTACGCTAGTCGATTTTGGGTGAACGACAAAGTAAAGGCAGCTTTAAAAGTCAGCAATAATTTTCGAACTTCTTGCTATCAAATTTTTAACTAGCTCTGGTGGCTCGGCAATCTTCTCCAAGCAGCGAGCTTACACACAATCTTTAGTCAAATCACGAATTACAGTGAGTGAAGACTTAAAATGAGCATTGAATAACTAAACGTGTAAAGGGGTTATAAATGTGACCGTCCAAGTAAATTTGATTTGACTTGAGGCAGCACAGATATTTATATTTTGCAATTTATTAACATACATACATACATACATACATACATACATACATACATACATATGCATATAAACAGATTTGGCATCTAATTTTTTCACCTGTGGAAAAAGTCTTATGATGAACCTATCAGTAATTTAACGGCTTAACTTACTTAAATTTATTTTTCACGCTTTTACAATTTTTGGGGATTTTTTTCGTTTCCTTCCAGAGAGCTAACAATCATTAAGCGTAAGTTTTAAATACTCCAAATAAATAATAAGTATTATTTTTCTTTGTATAGCGCGAGCGAAAGAAATTAGTTTTACGCTTTCGACTATAAGAAAAATTAAAAAACGATACAAAAATTTATGAGACTACTCAGCCATGTTCTGCAATTCATTTCCGAGGGAATTTCAACCAAAGCCACTTTGACTTCAAACTGAATGGAATTGAAATTCACTCGGAAGTGAATTGCAGAACCTATCTGATTGTATTAAGTGTGAGTTTTTCATTTTAAGATAAGTTACAAAAATTAAAACTAATTTTAGAATCCATGTGTGTATTTAGGCTAGAACATACAAATTTAGTTTAAAAAAAAGTTTATACACACAGATTTGCTTACGGCTAAGCAAGAAAGATTTTTTGTTCGTTAAATTCATGTGAAACAATGGTTTATATTTTTCTTCGATTAAGGACCATTTTCACTTTAAATTTTTGTATTTTCCCAAGTGTATGTCACCTTTACATTTAGGTATTTTTATTGCCATATTAATATTAAAACTGTACTGATTTTTTTATTATACAATGATTTTCACAAGATTTAATAAACAACTTTTTTAGTCACAAAAATGCTTTAATACAAATAATTTATATTTCAACGGAAAAACATTTATTTATTTATTATGTTTTCATACCATATGGAAGGGTTTCTAGCAACAAACTTTAAATTATCAGCAAACAAAATAAAACAAAAATACCTAAAAAAAAATGGCAAAACATACCACGCTCGAAAAAGGTAAAAAAACTGAATTATATGTATGTTATATTTTTAAAATTCTCATTTTTATTATAATAAAAAAATTTAAAAACTCAAAGCTGCTGTAACATAAAAAAATTAAATAAAAAACTACGAATATGATTTTAAAAGTTAAAAACGAAAGAGATATAAAAAAGTTACATGTGTACATATATACATATGCATTTAGTGTTTATAAACAGAAATTTGTTTTTACAATTTCAAAGGTATGAAAATGTAGACATAATCGAAAGAAAAATTATCGACTTAAAAATAGTTAAAAACAAAAAAAATAATTAAAATAAATGAGTAAAAGGCCACAAATTGTAGTGATTCGCGCTTACATTTATTTGATTGAAAAACTTAAATGGGAAGTTAAGTGCTTCAATGAGTTTCCATAAAATAAAAATTTACTAAAAATGTAAAAGCACATAATCAGAAAAATTTTGAAACAAAATGTGTAAATAAAAATAAAAATAAAGGAAATAAATAATCAGGATAAAATATAAATTCAATACACACCCCTATCGCGGGTGTCGACTAATAGTAGATAAACGACTCTTATTCGAGTATCGCTTTTCCACGGTATTGAGCACTACGATTTCTCTTTCAATAAGTGACTGTGAATAGTTTTTTTATCGCTCATTTTTCTACAACTATTTGTTTGTAGAAGGATGAGCGACTATAAACCATTCACACGCACTTATTGAACGAGAAAACGACTTTGAAAATACCACGGATAATCGCTAATCAACTAACAGTCGTTTATCTACTACTAGTCGACACTCGTAATAAGGGTGACATATAAAAACATTTTTTTTTCTTAAATGTGCATTATTTTCTATTTGGTGCAAAATTGGCCTTTGGGAATTGGCGAAATAAACTCTGCATCAAGCTTTTTATACGCTCAGCGCTCTGTTCAGTTTATAAAGCTTACGGCTGAAAAAAGGGCTGAAAGCTTGAAAAAAGCAGAAACGATTGCAAAGCTTGGACCTAAAACCGTCAATATACCTAATTAAATAAACAAACGTTTATTCAATACATAATGGTATAACAAATAAAGTTAATAAACAATAGAAATCATAAAAATTTCCTATTGGGAAGCGATCGCCAAAGAAAATTATTTCAAAAATTGATGCGATCAAAGAATTTTCGAGAAAATTTGTACATACTATGCATAATTTCAATGGCAATGAAGAAAGTATTGTAAAAAATTTAGAATTATAATATATTTTATTATTTAAAAATATTGTGCAGAGTGTAAAAGGAATGTAAAATAAAATCAACTGCAATATTTGAAAATTAATAATTTCTTATTACTTTCAGAATTGCACAACAAATAGAAATGCCAATTTTTCAAAAGTATAAAACGATAGAATTTCATACTTTGTTTATACCTACGCAAGAACCGAATTAACAAAAAGCTAAATTGACTCAAGTCAGATTTCTTGTAAGCATTTATACCTGTGTCGTTATAGCCTACTCGCAGAACCGTATTCAAAAGTAAACAACTTTTTTTATTCGATATTTCTCAAATAATTAAATTGCGTGGTAGACCGAAATGGAAGCGAACAAGAATTCAACTTGGTTATAATAATAATTCTAATTTAAAACGGGATGTGTAAACATAACCAGCCTTTTTTCACTTCGCGTTTAATGGGTGATGTATTTTTACCTGTTTTCTAACCATGAAAGAAATAAAAAACCGATTTGAAAACAAATTCGAGTCAATACACTTTTGGATTTGTGAGCGTATTGAAAGTTGGTTTATGCTTCCGTTTTGAATCACAGCGAACTGGGTCGAAGCAGTTTATGTGTTGGTATGTATCTCAGAAATTGTGCGTACATTAATAGAAGTGAATTAAAACTAAACTAGAATTATGAAAATATTTTTTTTTTATTTTAAAATTGTGTGCATATTCCATGTCAATTATATAAATGTAATAGTTGATTGCATGTTTTTTAGTTACGCTTATTAATTTATTAACAACTTCATTTACGCTACGTAACGATCCTAGGAGTGTTATTTAAGAATCTTTCAATGCAACCCTGCTCCTGCTGAAAATGCTTCAATGCAATGCTTTCTACAGAAAAAAGATTTTTTCCAGATTTAGTAACTTTTTTATGGTTGTTTGAAGATTCTACCATCACTTGGAAGATTTTTAACAGAAATTTTTCTGGCAACACTGGAACTCAACTCAACGTCACGTAAGCCAAGGCGCATTTCACATATGGTATTTCTGGCAACACTGCATATCAAACACAGACGTAGACGAAGTGCATCCGTGTAAATGCGGCCTCATTGACGTAAACACGCTTACGTCAGAAACGACAAATATAAACAGAAAACAGCTGCTCAGTGCAATCTCTTTGTGTATTTGCCAAGAACGCAAAAATTTTATATATTATACGGTTATTACTAATTTTTGCTTCCAAATTGTGCTGTGCTGCTTCAGCAATGTTACGAAATGTGCATCGCTGCAATCAACAACTTCTCCACATTGAACGGTGCTCAAGAGGATGTGCCCCAATTTCGACAACTTGCGGAGGTGCCGCAGCTTTTGCAAAGGCCGATAGTATCACTTTCCAGAGCAAGGTAATGAGCAAGCTAATCGGCCATCGCGTATCGGGTAGCAAGAAACGGTGGTATCCCAGCAATGAGAGCAATACATCGAACTCTAGCAGGCAGCGCAACGCAGAGATGTTCAATAACGCTCATATCAACAAATCAACGGCCGGTGGCAAAACTACTACACGTCGTATGGTTGTGCTAAATAAATTATTTATGAAACACATAACTGATCTGTTGGCAACTGGTGAAGCCTCTGAAGCTATTCTAGGACGCGGTTTGCAAGTGACGCGCGTAAAAATCGCACCAGATTTCGCAACCATCAACGTTTATTGGTTGGGTAGGGGCGAGCCACTATCCGATGCACTACTCGAAACTGAATTGCAACGCTGCAGCGGTGTCTTGCGTCATGAACTTTCGCAATTGATGCTTATGAGTGAAGTTCCACGCGTTCAGTTTACTCGCGAGAAAAGATTGTCAAATATCAACCAAGTAGAAGATATATTACGCTCCATCGATTTCGGTGCCACGGAAGAGATAACTGATGCTGTTGAGGGAGTTGAGCGTGAACGAGAAAATGCAATTGCAAATTTGATGCAGCGGGAGTTTTATGGCAAAAACGCATTGCAAGATGCCAGTGCGCACACAGCTGCTGAAAGTGAAGCAGGAGAGGAGCACTTTCCAGAAATGCGACACGATGTGCTTGGCTTAGATCATCGCCATATTATGTCTAAGCTGTTGACGAAAATGCGTAAATCTCAGCAGGCTTGGGACGAACATGCCCAGAAGGTTGGAACGACTGGTAATGAAATGACTGAGCGCGGCGGAAAGCTTGAACGTGTACAACAAAAGCTCGCTGAAGCAGCGGAGAAGGCAGAACGCTTTGAAAAATTTTTGGCTAAAAGACGCGAACCAAAGAATACACCTGAACGAAAGCGGCATGATCGCGCGTCAGATTGGATTGATGAAGATGCTGAGCAAGCGGCTCGAGATGCGGCAGCTGAAGGTATGCTCTCACCGGCGCAGCGGCGATTACTCGAGGCCGAGGATTATTTAGACGAAGATGATAATGGAAAGAGCGAAATAGTTGGGAAATAGAAAACAAACATCGTCTGCACATAGTAAATTTAATTCGAGTCTTGGTTACAAAGAATGATCATCTCTGCCTGTTAATAAAAGTGATTGTTTTAATAAATTTAAACATATTAATTTAAATTTTCTATTTAAAATTGTTAGCATTTTTCGTCCGTCCTTTGTTGACCCTTTCAGCACTTTACGGCAAGCTGCAAAAAAAAAAGGTTTTCCATTAGTTACATTGATATTAAGATTTTAAAGAAATAATTCCAATCATTCATTGGATCAGTTAAAAACTTATTTGACATCAACGTTTGTTCTCAGTCGAAAGATGGTGAGAAGTTTTGTTCATCATGCAAATAAACTTTCAAACACTGGAATCATTGCTCGCATTACTCACCCAAAAAGTTTTTGGTGCTTCAGATTCTTCTGCTTGGAAATAGTATGCAGCTCAACCGCTTTTCCGCCTGCTCGTCCTTCTAGCTTCCATCAGCACCTATAATTCTGTATCATTCAAACACTAAAGCAATCTAACAAAACATGGCAGAAAATATCCATGGCTCCTAGCACCTACTTACTGTTACTCCCAAATTGAGCGTACGGCTCTTTTTTGTTAATATTCGCAATGTTTTACATGCTAAAATCTTTTTGTTAATTTTGTATTAAAATATGGCTTATATTTTAGCAAACCCCATTTCAAATTGTACGAAAATTTTCAATTTTTTTTTTATTTGAAAAAAAAAAAAAAAATATATATCGAGGGACAGTCAGCAAAAATTCTCAAAATCATCGCGAATTTTTACATTTGAAATTTGCACATTTTAAAATTTAATGGGCTATAAAACTGCATGCCTGAACTCTTTATAGAAAATCGTAATAAAAAGTTCGCGATTTTGCCGAAATTTTGCAATTTTTGTACACTGTTTCATTCTTGGATTGAAATGGGGTCTGCTAAAATATAAGCCATAAGTTCTTAGCATGTAAAGCATTGCGAAAATTAACAAAAAAAAAATTCGTACGCTAAACTTTGTGATTAACAATGTATCAAAAAAAAAGTGTTGATTTAAACGCGTAAAAACTTTACTTTCTTTTATTTCATAGAAATAAAATTCCACTATGTTGTATATATAGGTTTGTCAAATTGCAAGTATCCAAGGAGGCAGCAGTGTTTTGCTTCCTCTAAGGTGTTCTAGACACATTTTAAACCCTCCCTATGCTGACGCTGTTAACTGAAACTCGAGCGGTAACCTGTAAATGAAAACAATTAATTTAGTAAGTAAATAACATTAATAGGATTACAGTGCATGATGCATTAAATCAGTAAAAAAAAACTTATTTGACATCAACGTTGATATTCAGTCGAAAGATGGTGAAAAGTTTTGTTCATCATTCAAATAAATATACTCCTATAGGAATATTGTTTCTATTCAACTCACCTATACGTTTTTGCACGTTTTTGTGTTGCACTGGCGATTGCCTGCACACCCCTTATATACAGTAGTAGTAGCTTATTCGAAGAGACCGAAGCCCATATCGTCGTCTTCAGACTCAGATTCTTCTTTCTTCTCCTCTTTCTTGGCTTCCTTCTTGTCATCACCGGCATCGGCAGCACCAGCAGCTGGAGCAGCAGCAGAGGCAACGGCACCACCAGCGGGCATAGATGATAGTTTCTCGCGACCCTGAGCAATCAATTCTTCAATGGACTTGCCATTTAATTCTTTGACCACCTTGGAGAGGCGATCAGATTCTGCTTCAATACCGACGGAGCTGAGGATCTTCTCGATATCGGCATTTTTGGGGTTTTCGGCACCGCCAAGAACAGCCAACAGGTATGCAGCCACGTAACGCATTCTGAAAAAAAAGCAATAATTATACAAACAAATTTAATAAGCAATTTTATGTTAATATTTGCTAAATGCAAGCATCCCATCAGCATTTGTAAATTTGTATAAGTGCCGAGTTCATCACAGTTAATTCACCATTTTGATCACTTAAAATCTGTAACATCTCGCGCATTTTTGCGTTCATTTTACTTAAATATTATGCACAATTAATTGTGGTGACAATTATTTATTGTTTTATAAGTTATACATACTTTTAAGTCCTTTTTTTTCGACACGAAACGTGCACAGCACAAGAAAACACAACTTTCGTTTAAAAACTTTAGAACGAAAAGAGCAATGTCAACTAGTTGACATGTACAGGCACTTCCGTTTAGTGGCCACTGCACCGTAACTTGAGCTATTACCGACAGCCAGGGTTGTATTCCTTAAGAAGCGTTTGCATTGTTCAACCTTTCCAGGTGATTAGTTGAGTCAAAAGTTTAACGAAAGTTGGCGATTGAGATTTGACATAAAACCCGTGATACAAAAAACATGTGCTTCCCAGATGATTAGCATAATCCAACTACGCAAGATATGATAAGATGAAGCAAAAGAAAAAAGTAATTTTCTGCCTGACGTTTGTAATTTCGGCGCCATATTATTTTCTTTGAAATGAACCAAAAGTAAACTGAATAAATTTGGGAGCGTACTAATTTTTAAAATATCTCCAAACAAGAAGGTTCAAGCTTTGATGGCTCTTAGAAGTTAGAAACAAATTTGAAAATCTACAAAAAAATAAAATAGGTGCCTCCAAACTCGTATTTGCCAACAAAATTAACGATGTTGCTATTGCGAAGAAGTTTGCGAAATGAGAAAATACCTGTCGAAAAACAACAATGACAGTTGAAAGCGAGCGAGAGCTCATAAACCGCTCGGTATGCGAGAAAAATTATGCTTCGTTCTTTTTGCGGTCTACACGTGCGGAATTTCGCATGCTTCGTCACGCATGCAAGATTTCAAAGCGCGTGAAGACGGCCGGATATTTTTTATCCAACTTTGGTGAACTAGCTTATAGTGATCACTCCAAATACTAAAATCGTCCATTAGGCCCTGTATCCACAGGAAAACACTGATGTCGTGATAACAATGTCACAAAATATATTTCCAATGGAGACCGCCTATTTCTCATGGGCTGCAATATATGTCAGCGTTTGACAGCCATATTTTCATTTGAAAGGAAGCGTGCTGGTGGTAACATCGATGAAATTTCGATAATAAATCAAAATAAAAATCTCCTCCTATCCTAAAATCCTATTAGATTATTTATTACTACGTTTATACGCACGCATTATTTGCAAATAACAATTTGCAAAATGGTAAACTTTGCCGTATAAACGCTGAGTTAATTGTGTATTTGCAAATAACTAAATCACGCAAATAAGTATTGCTTAGTGGTACTATTTGCAAATAAGCGCAAGACGCTGCCATGCTTATGTTAATTTTCTTTTTCGATGGTCATCTTATTGCCTTTTTATAATCAAGACGTTGCTATTTTTAACTTTATTTTCCTATTCGATGGTCATATTTTTGCTTTTTTATAATCAGGCAATATTAAAAAAGAATTTTTCACTGTCGAATAAACAGTGAGTTAGGTATTTGCAAATTATTTTTATTGCAAATAGCTTACGTATACACGTAGTATATGATTACGTTTTAGGAAATTTTTCAGCAAGTTTTTTAAAAATTTAAATGTTTTTAAACACCGAAATTGAGAGAATGTTGTCTGGTGGCGTAATGCGGCAAATGCTTATTTCAAGACATCAAAGTGCCCACACACAAAAACTTGCAATTATATTGCTCGTCAAAATGACAGTTGGTAGGCCATCGGTGTTTGCCTGTGCAGTTCTGCGGTTATGTGGTCACAGGCATGAACGAAAGACACAAGATCACGCCTTAAGGAAAGAAAGAAAAAAGTTATTTTCTAGCTGTTGAAATCTCGACGCCATCTTTGTTGTAAGAAGTAAACAACGAAGAGAACAAAAAAAAACGCGTAATTGTTGAACGCATGAATAATCATTTTTATTACGCAAATTCTCCTATAAATCATGTCGTTGTGTTAAATTATTCTTTACCTTATGTGTGCTACCGTTGTTACAAGCGAAAATTAAGAAAATTGCAGTAAAAAGCCACCACCAATATATAAACAACGAACAAATGTAAACAAACGGCTTATGTCAAAATCGCCCTACTTTTTTCATAAGTGCGTTTATAACGGGCCACTCTTCGGCTGTCGTGATCTTGTCTTTTTGGTTCATGGGTCACAGGTATCAGAATCGGGCTCGCCAAACTTGTCCCCTGGTATATTACCCGATTTACATGATTCAAGTACTTGAAAGCAATTCTTGCTCATTCTCTTTGGTGTTTTCTATTTGCTTTTACACGTTTTAATTCTGTTAAATTCAAGTTTTTGGTTCTTTAAATGGGAAGCAACGAAAATGCCAAAAGCAAAGCAAGAAAGTTGCAAACGACTTGACGGTACAGACGCATGTGTACTCGTCCCTTTTCTTCTCACCCCCTCTCTTCCACATGCGAGCAGAATTGAATTCAATACTTGAACTGTGTAAAAGCAGTCTATCTCTTGTCAAGCATAAATTCAAATATCAAAATTTTTTGATTTTCTTCAAGCATAGCCGACAACGAGTCGGTGTAGTGTACATGTAGCCATGATAAAAATATAGTAAGGTAGAACCGCAGAGAGTCACTTTTAAAATTCTTGACGTTTCCAAACAATTTAATTTTTAAATTTACTCACAAACTCACACACACATTTTCATTTTCAACTTCAAGCAACAACAATTTCGAACAAATTCAATTTTTTATTTTCACTTTTATATGATTTTAAAATGTTGGCAAACTTCAAAAAAAAAATCATGGCCGACAAATTGAGAGAACGGTTCTACCTTACTATATTTTTATCATGCATGTAGCCATGATAAAAACATTTGAAGGTAAATTCATTCTTCCAATTCAACGGCCTTTTTTTATGACGTTTGCCAACATTTTAAAATCATATAAAATTGAAAATAAAAAAAAGGAATTGTTCACAATTGTTGTTGTTTGAGATTATAAATGAGAATGTGTGTCGGCCGCTGTGGTGTAGTGGTAAGCAGTGCGCGCTTCCACTCCGCAGCACCCGGGTTCAAACCCTGGTCAAAGCAACATCGCAAAAAATATAGAAAAAAGTTTTTTTCTTAAAAGCGGTCGTCCGTCGGCCGGCAATGGCAAACCTACGAGTGTACGGCGTAAAACTGTAGGTCCCTCCGCTTTGTGTGACAATATCAAGGCGCACGCCACAAGTCGGAGGAGAAGCTCGGCCAAACACTAACATATGTGTAAGCGCCAATCTATTATTACTATTATGTGTGTGAGAGCTTGGGTTCGAATTTTAAAGTTATATTGCTGGCAAACGTCGACTGCCTTTCAATGATTTTACCTTGTAATGTTTTTATCATGCATTTTGCCGACAAAAGCCGACGACACTAATACACTTAAAGCGTTGATAAAGATATTTGATCATCTCCGTGGCGCTTAACATAGCGCTTTTCTAGAGTCGACTAGGCATGGGCAAAAAAAATTGATTAATTCATCACATAATTATTCACAAGTCAAAAAATTCGTTGCAATTTTTGAGAAATAATAGTTTTTTTTGCACCTTTTTCCAGTGAGTCTTCACAAAAACACTTTTCCATAAAAAAATTCAAATTCTCTTGCTAATTAGCCTTAAATAAAATAAAACGATTGTTTTTATCGGCTATAATTATTCATTATTTAACCAAGTTTGCAAAAACAAGTAAAATTGAATACGTGTGTCTGTATGACATATGTTAAAGACGACGCCATTACGAATGCGTTAACGCATTTGCCGTCGAAAGTTAAGCAACTCGCTACTCTTCTGTTGCGTTCATACGTTGACATTTGAAATTACATTTGTGGATATGCTTAGCAGCTGTTTTTTGATTACAAAACAATGAGCGGCACAACGCAGGGTGTGTAACAGCAAATCTTTTAATGTCGCCAGCGCACAACTGGATCAACGCAAATAAAAGTATGTACCTTCAGCTTTAATCGTAAATTGGATAAAAATAACCGATTAATATACTCAAATAATTAATCGCTGCCAAACCTAGAGTCGACTTTTCCATTCATATTCTTGAATTTGCTCTAGGAATGTTCGATATTTAAGAAACTATCGATATCATGAATCGATTTAATTCATTGCATGTAAAATCGATATGGCGATATATCGGGCTGAACAATATCGATATCGGAAAAATCTATGTTGAGAATCGATTCATGATATCGATACTTTCTTAAATATCGAACATTCCTACTCCCAATTGAATAGAATATTGGACCTGCCTGTCAACTCACCTAATTGTGATATTTCTATATAGTATATTTACTGAGGATTAAAACGGCATGCCGGTCTACTCAAGCGGTTTGTCAAACTTAAGAGCAAAATAAATCATACAAGCTGCTGATTAAACATACTTTAGTATGTACCCATACACTTTTTGTAGATCAAAAATAAATTTCAACTTAAATATCGATATTGCGGGTAAAGTATCGATGTCTTCGATATATCGACCTTGGAATATCGATTCAAAAAATCGATTATCGTGCCAGAAGTATCGATATTCAGAATAATCGATACGATATCGAACATTCCTAGTTTGCTCAGTTTCTGATTTTCTGCTCCATTATTTGGTGGCGAAAAAATTTTCCGTGTGAAAAGTTATTGGGGGAGAATTATACAAATCGTACTGAGAATAATTTAGATTTAAATGCAGCAATCAAATTAAAAGAAGATTGTTGAGGTGACGTGACGTTAATTAGCATACACGATTCTACATTCCAATAACAATGTTCAAGTGATGTGCAAGAAACGGTAAAAAAGCAGAGCAAAGAAAGCTTAATTTTATTAGTGAATATTTTTTTTGTAATCAATACGAATATACATAGCCAATCCTGTAAATTAACCGTCAAGTTATATTACAGCGAAGTTATCTGGCTGTAGAAATTTTGTGGCAATTTTTGAAGGGGTGCTGCGTTTTATACAGGGTTCGGCAGCTGCAGTTCTGCAATGAATCAGCACTAGATAACAGCGGAAAAGTAATTAGCAACTATTATAAGTGCAAGTTAAGCTATTTTTCTCAACTTAACATCTTTTGGCTCATTGGTGACACTTGTTTGTATGCAGCTTTTCCTTAGAATTCATGAACCATGTCTTTCGTTCAGAATTCTTGTTGATTATTTCCAATTGGTTTTTCCTTGCCTGCTCTATTCTATTCTCTTATGTGTCGTGTCATTTTGTTCTTAATTTTTTGACAATTGACGAACTTTAGTTTAGTTTTTCTTTTCGTGCCTTTTATTAATTGTGCTTCGTTTTGCTTTCTCTTCTGTTTCCATTTGCGCTTAAATTCGTTTAATAGTGAAATTAGTCAACAACGCAGAATGGGAATTTAAGACCTTTTACTCGATTTATTCAAACAAAATTTAAGTAAAAGGCGAATTTATACAAGGTGTTGTTAGATCAGCTGATTTCTTTGCCTTAGAAGTAGTTTGTTTTTGCTTTTACTGATTTGACAGCACACTCATCACAAACAAATAAAATGCAAATTTTTGTATCGTGCATATATGTAAAGTCGAATCTATACAAGGTGGTGTTATCGGATCTTCTGATTTCACGGCGAATTTGTACCTTTTGTCAAAATGATGTTATTGTTTTGTAATTTTGCTTTGTACTGATTGTCAATGTGCTATAATTTGTTGTTGTGATTTTTATTTTTGTTCTGGCAACACCACCTTGTATAAATTCGCCTTGCTTTGGGGCGAATTGAGATTTGACAACACCCGTGATAAAAGTAAATGTAGTTTTTGTATTTTTTGCCACCACCTTGTAAAATTCGCTTTGTTACCAGAGGGGAGAATCTGTAACCAGTTGACAATTTTCGGATCGCTATCGCATAAGTTAACGTATAATACAAGGCGAATTTATACAAGGTGGTGTTGATGGTGAATTAAATTTTCGCCGCGGTACTACTGAATGTCAAAATGATGTGTTGGTTGTACACAAGGCGAATTCATTTTACAACAAACATATGATTTTGACATTAAGACGTACCTCGGCGAAAATCTAAATTCGCCATCAACACCACCTTGTATAAATTCGCCTTGGTATAATATGAATGCTGATTTCAAGGCGAATTTGTATTGACTGTCAAAATGACGTGTTTGTTGTTGGTGTAGTTCAAGGCGAATTTATACAAGGTTATGTTATGGCGAACTTAGATTTTCGCCGCGGTCATATAAAGAGTCTTTCGAAAGAGGTTTTTTTATTTCTTAACTGACCCTGCAATCTCTTTTGGAAAGAGCCAATTTACGATGACTTTTCACCCTGCGTTTTTTGCACTTCCCTTTTAAAAAAGTCTTCGAAAGTCCTCGTGTATTTACACCAGCCATGGGCAGAAAGAGCTTTTACTCTGCTTGCGCCTATACAAAATGTATAGAAAGCTTAAACGAGCTTTTCCCGCGGGAAAGGCAGTGCCCATCAGTGATTTACACGATGACTTTTTCTTTTGCGGTGTTTCTTGCCAAACAGCTCGACACGCATGACTTTCAACCCAGGCTGAAAAGTCATTGTGTAATTGGCTCGATAGGTCGTGTCAGCTGCCAAAGTTTACGTACCAGCGGGTTTACGTTCTTGACTAATTTGACTAGGAAAGTGTCAAAACAAGAAGCAAGGGCAAAAGCAGAATTAACGGCGAAAACGAATGGTAAGCTAAAAAGCAAAACAAAGCAGGGAACGAAAAATCGAAATCAGTCGGGGACGTTCTCTGGTAAATCGTTGATAGATACCAAAGAAGTGGATGTGAGGAAAGAACGTAAAATTTTTTCTCCAATAATCTTCATAGAAGAAAAAGTGTTGAAAAATTTCACCTGAAGAAAAATTAACCAAATAATTATAAGAATTAACCAAAAACTCGCCGCTGTAGCGGGGTAGTATTGGAATTACGTGTAGTGTATTGCAAGTGACAAATAGTGTAGATAGACATGAAAAAATCCAGTTCAAGTTAAAAGTGGGCGCAGTATAAGCGTAATCGCTGGTGTAGTGTGTGCGAAAATTTCTGGACACCGCAGTGTGGTGTCAGAAATTTGATGAAAATTTATCGTGTTTCATAAAAACTATAATCATTATAGGTACATAACACAATTGCATTGAAGAAAGAAAGAAAATACACCTACAAAACTTCCGTATAACCCGTATACCTAGAAGAGCAGTAATCAGTGGCCGCGAGGCAGCCACCACCACTCGAGTCAGGGCAGCAGCAGCCCCAGTAGCACAACCAACAGCAGCAGCAGCAAAATGGAGCAACTAATTCCGATTGTAAATAAGCTGCAAGATGCTTTCACGCAATTAGGCGTGCACATGCAACTTGATTTGCCACAGATTGCCGTCGTAGGCGGACAATCGGCCGGAAAGAGTTCGGTGCTGGAGAACTTCGTTGGCAAGTAAGTGTTTATTAATACGTGATAAGGCATATCCGTTTTTGCATAAATTTTATATGTAAGTACTCTTGTTTTGAATAATCAATGATTTTTGCTGTGCTCCTTGGGTCATGTTGGGTTAATGTTAGCGACATTGTTGGGTGGTTTTCACTAGGATGGCTGGAGGCCAGGAGGCGCTACTGTCAAAATAAATGTCAAAGTAATCACATCGTGCAGACCTACTCAAGACTGAAACTTTGGATGTATAAATGCAGGAAGAGAGCTAGTATAGTCGTGGTATTATGCGCAACCACTTACACACATATGTACATATGTACGCTGCGTGCGTCCACTTTATACATAGCACTTTGTTCAGCTTTGCGTTTATGTTTCCGTTTTTGTTATGCCTCGGTCTTCTCCTTAACTGGCTAAATAGCGAAAACAGTAAATGAATGCGTAAAAGCTGAAGATGTGGAAAAATCAATGTCTTGAAATTTTCATTTGTCGTTTTTGGTCTACACTACTTTATACACATGTATTCCGCATACAAATTTTTATTGCTGCAAATAAAATACTCGGTAACCTTCTCACATTTTCAGCGCATTTCGGGCTTCCGTTTTAAATTTTAGTTTGATGCATTTCTGGATCAAAAAGATAATTTTGAAAAAATTTCGCTTCCGTTTTTAGGCGGTACGGCTCGATATTTGGGCTATTTATGTATGTTTTATTTAATTTTTTAGTTATTTGCTTTATCCTATTTTTATTTTATTTCAATTAATGTACAAACATACATACATATGTACACTGCCGGAACAAAGTATTAGCACAGCAAATTTTTCACAGTATATGCAACAATTTTTATTATAATATTTTTCCACCAATTTTGTATAAAAATATGGTTCATTCAACAACAAAAAACATAAAAATATAATTCCTAAACTTTGTGCAAAACTCGCGAAATTTCAGCAAATTTTCATCAAAATTTTCAAATTTTTAATCAGATTTTTTAGATTTTTTTGGCTATGCAGGGCTCGAACCGTCACATACGTTATCGTACTACTCGTCACAACACATTTTTCGGATTATGGCATACGTGAACGTACTCTGTGTCCCATTCAGCTTATAGTGCCTGACGTATCACGTCATTTTCTTTCGTATCGTTTTCGACCAGTGAACGGATGTTACGATTCGAGCCCAGTTTTGCAGCCCTTTAAATTCTAGTAAAAAAATGCAAGTAAAAAAAAAATGTTAGTCAAAAATGGTGTTTTGCATTTTTTCCATATAAAGTATTTTCGAAAAAAATTTTTGACTGAAAAAAATTGCCAAAAATCAACAGTAAGCTACTTAAAACTTGCACTTTATTATAATAAAATTGATTGGGCTACAAATCTGCATACTCAAAAAATGTCTAAAAAATCTGATTAAAAAGTTGAAAATTTTCATGAAAATTTGCTGAATTTTCGCGAGTTTTGCACAAAGTTTAGGAATTATATTTTTATGTTTTTTGTTGTAGAATGAACCATATTTTTATACGAAATTAGCAGAAAAATATTAGAATAAAAATTGTTGCATATATTGTGAAAAATTTGCTGTGCCAATACTTTGTTCCGGCAGTGTATGTATGTACATACATAGTTTATTTTCCTTTAATTTCAAACTTATTTTTCATCCCATATTAATTTTTTTATTGTTTTCAACGCCTTACCTTTTTCATTTCCAGTTCTTCCGAACTCGCGAATTTCAATATTTAATGATTTTATGCGTGACCACACGTACATATGCATGTATGAATATATGTACGTATACTAACTGACTTTAGTTTATCTTCTTCGCTTTTGCATTTACCATTGTTGTTTTTGGAGCAGTTATTGTTTGTTTCATGTTTGTGGAATTGCTATCCAACCATTCTATTTATGGTGTCCATAGATTATTGTTGGTTCATCAGCATTTTTTCGGTTCTCTGCATGCATACTGTTCGTAAATTTTTGATACTGTTAAATTTCATGTTTCCATTAAACTTTCTCGCTGAATAAAGACAATAACGCTTGGCAAATGTATTGGGCGTAAATTTCATAGAGAGCAATAACCTGTGGTGACGCGTATGTAGAATATTTAAAAAATGATCGCTGGTTGTAAATGAAGTTGGGGAAAGATCAGTGTGTAGGCATACTGGCTTTTCGTTTTGTTTCCTAGTTATTAAACGTTTCGTTCATGGCCGTACTCGTACATAGCGTATGAGTAACATTTTCCATGTTCGCAAGCATTTCGCAAAGCAAATTTAAATGAAACGCAACCGAAGTTCTTTGCTATCCGTAGTCGACCCATTAACATATGCATGTCCAAGGCATATCGCCTTGAAAGGAATAAAGTTCTCAAATGTATGGACAAAACTATAGATCTGTCAGACTTGCGCACTGTAATGGGATGGTTTCAAACGTATGTTGTTGTTGTGGCGGCTACTCAGCCCTGTCTAGATCGGCTTGTCCCTCAATCGTTGGTGTCAAGCTCAACCAATGGGAGTCCCAGGAAGTGCGCAACACCAACTGGGTTTGTCCATAGAGACAGGGGTGTTAGTTAAGTTAGGTTTTGGGGCATGCGAAGAGATGTTTCGAGTCGTGGGGTTATTCTTTGAATGCCGGGAACTGGTTGGGCACATCTGCACCTAATCTGCTCAGGTAAAAGTTTAGCCTGCTGCGATAGCCAGAGCGAAGTTTGGCTATAGTGGTGCGAGTTTGGCCTGTCGGTATGGTGTCCTGTCCAAAGGTTGCTTTATGAACCTCTAGATTTTGTCAGTCAGTTCGTGAAGATGAGTTCTGATGTGCTTTGACGAGGGCTCCGGTGCAAGCAGCTGTCTGTTCGGGTGCCCACATCTGTGACACTCCACTGAAAATTGCATTCAGGGCATTGTGTTATGCTCCCTGACCTGCAGCTTCGTCCACTACGTATCCGGCGACCACACGAGCGCTGCATAGTTTAGAATCGGCCGTCCAAATGCATGTCTTGTATGTCGGCATACCCTTTTCATTTTCTTCATATTTTTGT